CTTTTAAATCCCACGGGACTTTTTTCCAGCAGTCCAGGCTCCTGCAGCAGCCAACAGAATCCTGGAATGGTTTGGGCTGGAAGGGACCTTAAAGCTCATCCTCTACCACCCCCTGCCATGGGCAGGGACACCTTCCACTAGCCCAGGTTGCTCCAAGCCCTGTCCAACCTGGCCTTGGACACTTCCAGGGATGGGGCAGCCACAGCTTCTCTGGGCAACCTGTGCCAGGGCCTCCCCACCCTGGCAGGGAAGAATATTTTCCTACCATAAACTCCCTAACCTAAACTTCCAAATCTACACTTCCAGCCTGGAAACTGCCAACGAGCTCCCCACGGAGCCTCCCGTGCCCAGCAAGAGTTAAAGCCCAGAGCAGGTGCTCTCCCAACAAGCTCGAGCACCGAACAAGCCTGAAGATGATTTCTGCAAGGAGTCTGAGGTGTTGGTTTTTTTGACCTATAAAGGCTTAAGTGGCTCTGCCTGCTTGAGAAATTCCTCTCCCTTTGCATCACTCCGAGTGCCGGAGGTGGGAACACTGCCGGGGTTGAACCGGCAGGGACGGGCGGCTCCCCCGCATCTTCCTCCCCACACAGCAGGGGAACGATGGAAATCCAGGGATTTCCCACAAAAACCGGCCACAGGGACAAGGGATGTGAGGGTGAATTCAACACTGGGGCTCTTTTATTACAGATAAAGAGGATATTGTTGAAGGAACACACTACGATCCAAGTCCACTTCTGCAGGTGATCCCGGGAAAACAGAGCATGGAGAAACGAAACCAGGAAAACGTTCTGGGAGAGGGAGCTTTGGAGAGGCTCCATCACTTACGTGTAGGATTGTCTACATTGAATTAAGAAAGTATTTCTAAAAATATATTGACCAGAGCACTATGAAGATAATTACAAGTTAAAGAGAATTTGACTTGACTGTAGGGCCAACTCTGCACCACTGACCCTTGAGCAATCCTATTATAGCACTGACTGAAGGGAGCATTGCTTTGGAAACAGGACTGGGCCTCTTTTCTTCACTTAGGAGTTGGACTCAGTGATTCCTATGGGTCCCTTCCAACTCAGAATATTCTGTGATTCTGCTGAAGCAACTTTTTTCCCAAGCTAACTCTGCAGTTTGTGTTCTCCTGGAAGGGCTAAATGCATCTTACAGGATCTGACATAACCAAGACCTACCCAAAAACGCTGCAAAACCCAGACCTCTTAACTCATTAACTGCAAAGGTGATAATTTTACGTCCCTAAATTATATTTAAAGAACCAATTGTGCAGCTACGTGCGCACAGCCTTAAGTTTATTTAAGTAGGAGTTGCAATGACATCAAAGTTAAGCACGTGACCTAAAGTTTTTGCAAGATTGGGATGCTGACAACCACGTGCAAAATGGGATGTCCCAACAAAGCCTAACTCTGGTGCATTTCATGCCCAGCTATCTAAAAGCAAACTGAAAATAATTCCTTCCATTAATTTCTCACTTATTTTGTTCCTCAAAGGTTACATCCCCATTTCCCATTTTCTCTTTCCAGAGGCAGGAAGGCACTGCAGGATCAGGGCCCAAACAACTTCAGAAGTCGTTTTTACGTTCCGGGTTTCAACATTTAGCAGCAGAATTCGAACCCCCAGCACGAGATCTGCACGAGAGGTCACAGGTACACTTGACTAAGCTTTCCCAGAGCACCGTGCCTGGCACCAGGCAAACATCCTGCTGCAGAAGGCACAGCCTGACCCCCATCCCAGCACCGCCACCTGAAACCAGACCCGGAGGACTTCCCGCACTGGATTCACTGGGATACGGAATGGGAGCCCTCACCTGCACGCACAGAGGGGCCTAAAAACACTCCCAGTGCAGGGCAGTGCCTGTGTACCCAAACTCGTAGTGTTTCCCCAGCCACCTCCATCCTGAGGATGATTTTTAAAGGATGAAGCTGGACACTGTTCACAGCTTTGTATTCCAAGCACCTCGCTGCGGTGGCACAAAAATTCCCTCCTGGTATCCTTGCATTTGGTTACAAACCTCCACACATCCCACAGGAGAGGTTATCATCCTCCCACTTCCAAAAGGTCCCACTCTATACTTTGTGCTCGGTTGCAACACCACTGTAGTTTTTGTAAGGAATAAATATTGACTTTCCTGGACATTGCCTCACGACAGAACAGGACCTTGAGTACATTTGTCTAAGATATTTTTTTTTTTTAGCCTGGTAATATAATTTTATAGCAGAGCTTTCGTTCTGAGGAATTCAAAAGGCGTGGAAAACCATGCAACAAATTGTCCATGTTCATTTTCAGACAGGTGACCGTGTGCTAAAGCTGGTTCAACCGTATTTCTTTTGTTATAAAACTACATAAATTTATTACTTTAAATTTCCAAGCTACAAATGTAATTAAGATTTCAACATACCCCATTTGGAAAGTCCAGACTGGAAAAAGCCATGTGAAAATTAAGATTTAATGTTAATGAAGGCTATTTTGTCATTTATTTTGTTTGTTCTCAAGAATAAAGCAAATTACCCACAGAACTGAGAGAGTGCACGCCAGGTCTCAGGAAACTGAGCTCAAAACTCAGCGTGTGCAGGAGATGGGGCTGTTCAGTGAATGACTGTGCAGCACCTGCACCTCCCAGCCGGGTGTTCAGATGCTCTTCCCTTTGTAAAGGTCAGAGATCAGCATTAATTCACTTATAAAAATGCCTGGTGGTGACACCACTGGAGCTACTGTGTGGGTAACACTCAGCTTTCGGGTACAGGCAACAAGGAGCAGGGTCAGGGATTCCGGTGGGTGCAGCCTGGATGACTACTGGAGGTGGAACAGCACCCCAGGTATCAGCAGAGGGTGCAGAAAACCACATGGATTTCACAGAAAAAAAATAATAATCCCGTTTTCTGTCAGAAGTTTAACGTTCCAACATGTGACTCGACACACTCAGCTTTATAACATCAATTAAGATATGAAATAATCAGCAGGGAATCAACCGACCACATCCACAATTCAGCACTAACGAGGCGCAGCCACAGGAAGGATCAGCCCTTTGCAGGATCCTGTCCCCTCAGCCCAGAGTGGAACCAAACCCACCCAGGACGAATCCACACCGGGAAATAAACCCCGAGGGAGCCGGAGCAGCAGAGCGGGGAGAGGCCGGGCCAGGGATGGAGCGGGATAAAGCGCGGCCGCTCTCACCTGGAGCAGCTTCCCTTCGGCCGGGGTCACCTCGGCGACGTTGGCGAACTCCCCTTCCAGGATGATGGGCTCCACTTTGAGGGGGATCACCCTGATGATGGCCTTCTGCGCCGCCGCCCGCTCCGACTCCACCGCGGCCACCAGCGCCAGCCCAGTGTGGCCACAGTCCTTGCCTGCAGGGGTCGCCGAATTGACAGCCAAGCCAGAGGACAGCAGCTGCAGCAGTGGGGGCACGCGCACTCTGCTACCAGCTGCAGCAGCGGCTCGGGCCACCCATCACCGTCATAGGAAGCGTCCTACCGCGGCGCGGATCAGTTCTTCCCGGTCGAAAAAGCTTTCCTGATGGGGGGTGTCCGGAGTGGTCAGTTGTCCCAGAGAGACCCATGGGCACGGCTACGAGGGGCCTCGGCCACGTCCAGCGCGGCACCTCACGCCTGGCAACGCTTGGCTACTCGCAATCGCGGCCCTCTTCCTCAGGTGCACTCTCCGTGCTTCAAGGGACCGCTGGAGACTTCAGACGGCATATTTGGGACAACAAACTCTTAAAAAAAAAAAAATATAAATAAAATAAAATAAAATAAAATAATTAAAAAAAAAAATTAAAAAAATATCCAATATTGCGAGTCCCTCCTCCAGCAGATAAATCCGGGAAGATCAGCGAAGCAGGCTGCGAAGGAAGCAATCAGTTCGGGTCTACGGGAACGCCACGGAGCATTGGGAACTCAGTGGTCCCACGGGGATGAGGTGTGGGGAGGTCTCCCCGCCGATGTGGAGTCCTCGTGTGTCCTGCCCAGGAGTGAGGAAGATCCAGAGGTTCAAAACACCCATCCCAAACACCCTCGAGAGACACCTCACCTCCTTGCCAGCATTTCCCACAGCACAGGCACAACCTTGAATGTTATCTGCACCGATCGGTATCCTTCCCAGAAATCGGGCAGGCGGTATTCCTTGAATTTAGGCTGAAAAGAAAGTTTGCTTCGGTACCATCCCCTTCCAAACGGAGTTGATCCCTTCCATCTTCCTCGTGCCAGAAGTGCTTCATTCGAGACCAGCTTTACCTTTCTCCTAGCAATCCATGCTCAAGAGTCTGACTCCGGGTGCAGTTCTCCAGGGCAATTAATAAAGCACCGAGCTCCTCTTCATAGTTTCCAAGTTCCCAGGAAATAAAAAGGCCCCCCAAACACTTATAAAAGTTTAGACACCAAGCCAAACAGGTATCAGGCAGAAAGTTACGGCGTATCTGGTTTCTCTGGCACTATTTCTGTGCGCTCCCGAGTTCCGGTATGACCGCTTCCAAGCACACGTTAAGAAGATCCCGACTCAAGGCCCCACAAAATAAAATAGAAAGTTCCATGCTCTGCCCAAAGGTCACACGAAACGTAGCGAGGAGCCTTCATAACCGGGAGAATTCAGACGGGAGGTGTTTTCGATTAAAACCGAAGTCACGGTGATCGCACGGCTATGGGGAGAAACGGGGATTTACAAGGGGAAAAAAAAAAAAAAAGCTTTGCAAACCTGTTAGGCTGCGAGCCTGCTGGAGTCCGCAGGGGCCGGGAGGGAATGCTGCTGTAAATCCCGGGCAAAAGTTATTTCCAGTAGCTTTAAAAAGTCGTGTGGCTCTGATGCTGTTCGCGTCCGGTGTTAAGTAAAAAAATTCGGTACTCGTAGCAAAAAAAACCTAAGAAAAACCCAGAGGAAAAACCCTCTCTCGCGCACACGCAGCAGGCAGGTAGGTGCAAGCGGAGCTCCGGAGCCCGAGAGAGGATCCAGCGAGATCAAAGGGAGAAAATTACAGCAGGCAGAGAGCTCCGGGGGCAGGCATGGCTGAAAGCGAAGTGTCCGCATGTAATCGCCCGAGCTGCGCCAGCACCCCAGCGCGCCTCGGGAAAACTTCCAGAGCGCCGCGTCCCTGCGCGCGGGGCGCGGCACCGGCTTGCGCGCGGGAGGGCGGCTGGGACGATGGCAGCGAGCCGGCGGGCGCAGCCCGGCGGGGGCGGGCCGATCCCGGGCCGCGCGTGCGGGGCCGGCGGCTCGCCCTGCTCCACGACGGCTGGCCGAGACCCGGGCGGCCCGGCGGCTACGTAACCTGCGGACAGGGCGGGTGGAGCAGCCCGAGCCGCCGCCCCGGCCGGGGCCGCGGGCTGCCCCCCCCGCCCCGCCGGCACACGCTGCAGGCGCCGGCACGCGGGGGGAGCGCCCGGCCCGGCGCGGGGCCGAGCGGATCCCCGCGGGCTGTCCCGCGGGCTACTGCCATTCGCCCCGCGTGCGGCAGCCTGCGGGGAGTTCCAGGAGCGGGCGGGATTGGCAGAGGGTGGAATTCGGCCGCTCCGGAGGTTTGCGCGCGAATGCTGCGGGTCAAGGTGCGGGATGGCTGCGGTCAGGAGCGCGGCGCCGGGCTCGGCGATGGAGCGGGCTGCGGAAATCCCAGCGGCGAAACCCAATCGGGAACCCCTCCGGACCCCCGGGAAACCCACGGAACCCCCCGGGAATCCTCTGGGAACTCATCGGTTAACGGTCCCACGGGAATCTCCCGGGAACGCCCACTGGGAACCCCACAGGGGAAATTCCCATCGGGAAACCCCACGGGAGCCCCACCGGAACCCCACCGGGAACCCACCGGAGACTCCATCGGGAACCCCATCGGGACCCACGGGAAACCCCACCGGGACCCATCGAAACCCCAACGGGAACCCGCACGGGAACCCCACCGGGAACCCCATCGGGAACCCCAGCGGACCCCACCCGGAGCCCCACCGGGACCCCACCGGGAACCCCACGGGAAACCCCAGCGGGGAGACCACTTTTTTTCACCAGCCGCTCCAGCTGCCCGGGGAAAAGGGCCCCCAGGGGAGCGGACCGGTCAGCGGCACCCTGGAGGCACTCAGGGAAACGCATAAAGGATTCAGAGTCGGTCCCCTCTTTTGTGAGGGGTTGTTCCTCCTGTCAGCAAGAACTACTGAAACACGAAGCATATTTTCAACTCTGACGCTCTATCACCTGTAATTTATAACACGGAGAAAATGCAAATCAGCACCCATTTCTGTTAAAAAAATGAATTTATTGTGTTGTAATTTATTTCATTATAAAAGGAACATATATATTCATTTATACCTATTTAAATATCCATATACCTATTAAATACCAATATACCTGAAAAATATCAATATACCTATCAAATATCAATATACCTATAATTATACTATACTATACTATTTACTATATATAGATATATATGATTAGATAGATAGATAGATATAGAACTATATATATATATCAATATAACTATATACCTATAACTACATACCTATATAACTATATATAAAAATATAACTGCATATATAGATAAATAGAACTATATACATAGATAAATATACATATAAATGTATACATATATCATATAAATATCAATATAACTATATATGAAAATATAACTGCATACCTATATCAATATAACTATATATAAAAATATAACTGTATACATAGATAAATAGACCTATATACTTATATAAATATAACTATATATATAACTATAGCTATATACATACATATAAATATAGCTATACACACATATAAATATATATATAAATATAGCTATACACACATATAAATATATATATAAATATAGCTATACACACATATAAATATAACATAGGGAGCCCAGCTGGCAGCTGCTGCACATTTTCACATGCTCTCTCTTGTTCCTTCCTTCCCAAAGCACCCCCACTTGAAAGGCACATCTGCCAGCAGATGGAGATCTAGGAAGAAATGGGAATATGGAGTAAATATGGGGCCTTGTGTGTCACACACATGTGCTCCCATCAGGGACTGTAAAACACGGCTCGAACTTGGGAATTTGAGGCCTGCTGTTGGAAGAATAGGAATCCCTTTAGCTGTTCAAACTTTAAATAGAAAACAATAACAAAAATTATCAGCAAAGTGCCCCAGTATCTTTGCCTTCACTTCCATGGATCCCAGCTGCCCGGTGTTAATAACTCTCAAGCCTGGCAGGACCTGCAGGAATTCCTGTTTTGGTGAAACACGGGCACACCTTCACTGACCCATGAAGGGCCCCATGGCCTCACAGTCAGCATGGCTGGGGCCAAGCTCCTGCAGAAAATTGCTGGTGGGACAGAGCAAACAAGAGGCTCTTTTTTTGTAAATTCCCTCAATTCAGGGCAAAATGGGGATATTTCCAATGCTGGGTCAGGAAAGAGAACAAGCCCCCTGATAAGTCCCTGAGAATGGCACCAGGAGAGCTTTAATCTCTCAGCAGAGACATTCACGTCTGAGGCAAAGAACTGCAGCCCTTGTTCTTTCTCTGCACTGACAAAGAGGCTTCATTCCTTCCTGAAATGTTTCAAACTGATGTGTGTTATGAGCTGAATTATTAACCAGCACCATTATCTGGAATCTAGAAGCTCCCCTTTGAAGTGAGCAACAGCCCTTCCGACTCCACCATCAGCTCCTAGAGGAACAACTGGGAGAGAAAGAGCTTCCAACTGAAGGAAGAGGCTGAAGGGGCACTGACTTTGGCTCTAAAATGGAACCAAAGTGCTCTTGGTGTCCTCTTCTGTCTCACTAATCTGGGGACATTTGGGTTTTCCCCTTTCATTACTGTCTTTGTGCATTGTTTGGCCTCAGATGTTCTGCTGCTGGTTTTTCTCCTGTGTCTCAGCAGGTATCAGCAGACTGGTGCAATTTTTATTTCGTGATTCGAGACGAAATGTTTGGACTTCTACATCAACTTCATCAGTCTGGTGGGTTTTTTTCCCTGTTACTTCCATAGTCACCTTATTACTCAGCATTTCCTTAGGAGCACTGTCACCCCCCAGCAAACAGATCTGTGGACATCATCTCCAAATTGTGACATCCAGGCTTCTGACACAACTCCCAAAACTTCAGGTTTTAATTACTGATCTAATTTATGCCCTTGTCCACAGAACAGTAATTAGTTTAAGCATCTCTGCAGAAGGGTGTTGGTAAGTACACGGAGAGGCTGTACAAGTGTAATATTTTAACTGTCATTTTTAAGGACTGGCACTGCCACCAATAACTAAACTATTCTGATCTCCCCTTTCTGTGATAGTCTCAGAGTAGTTTTCTTGAGAATCTCTAAAAAATGTGGAATCTGTTCTTAGCAAGGGAGAGGAAATTGTTCCCACTGTGTTTTCCAGATGAATCAGTTCCTTCTACAGATACAACCAGAGGCTGAGTTCCTGAAGGGTCACAGATCACACTAATGTGCTCCTTAAAAGAAAAAAAAAAAGGTAAGAAGAGAGAAAGATAAAAGAGTGAAAGAGAGAAGGAAGGGAGGAGGAAAGGGAAGGGAAGGTTTGGGAAGGTTTGGGAAGGTTTGGGAAGGGAAGGGGAAAGGGAAAGGGATAGGGAAAGGAAAGAAGAAAGAGAAAGAAAAAAAAGAAAAAGAAAGAAAGAAAGAAAAAGAAAGAAAGAAAGAAAGAAAACCAAAGATCACACAATATTTTCTTGTAATCACTTTAGGAACAAAATAATAACTATTCTCGTAATGTAATAATATAATAATTCTTATCATAAGTACCCCAAAAAAGCATCTAACCCAAGGTGAGCACTGCCTGGATGGGTTGTGTAATTAGTGTTTGTTACTCAGAATTAAGGGTGCCAAATTGAAACTCAGGCCTCACAAAATTAAGCAAAACATGAACTCAGAAAACTAGAATGGACAAATGCCCTCACAGTCTGAAATCTGCCCTCAGGTATCAAACTAGACAAGACAAATGAGCCAGGATCCCAAATGGGTCAGGCTGGAAGGGACCCCAGTGGGTCACTGGTGCCACCTCCCTGCTCAGGCAGGGCCAGCCCAGAGCACAGGGCACAGGATTGTGTCCAGAGGGCTCTGGAATCTCCCCAGGGAGGAGACTCCAGCCCCTCCCTGGGCAGCCTGTTCAGAGCTGGGACACTGCCCAGGGAAGAAGCTCTTCCTCATGTCCAGGTGGTTTTTCCACAGAAAACAGAAACTTAAAAACTGTTTATCAGAAACAATCTGACCATTTATCTAAATTTTCAATGAAAATCTTTGCCTTCACAGCAAATCTCAAAATACTCTCTTAAATAAGACTTAATGTAACCTGAAAAAGCCTCCACCTCATCACCACGAATACACCTGAACATCAAATAACTTTCAAAGCAGAAAGAAGGCAATGAGGAGTTTAAAAAGCAGCAAGTCCTACCCAAATGAAACTCAATCCCATTTTAACAGCCAGTGTCTGTCCTGATGCTTCTTTTGGAGATAAATCAGAGTTAGAGGACACTGGAAGGGTAATTTCTTCTGACAAAGATGCGTCATATAAAGAAGTTGAGCAGAAACTCAGGTATATTTAAAGTATGGTTTTATTTTGGAAGAGATCTAATGTGAAAGATTAGTCCTTAGTGCCAGATTATCCTCAGACTTTCTGGCTGAGGTAATGGTTAATAAAAAGCTAATTCCATAGATGGATGAATTAAAACAGGAAGCCACAGGATCACCTACCAGGAAAGCCATATCAGATCAAATGCTGGTGAAAGGCTTGGCCTCTGAGCAGCAGGAACACCAGAAGTTCCTGAAGGGAGTAGCACAGAGGTGAGATCCCTTCTCTGGTGTATGGAGTTAAATCCTGCTGTGGATCCATGGAGATGTGCCTGCAGAGAGCCATAAATTGGGGAGGGGGGAGGGAGGGGAAGAAAAAAGCTGGAATTTGAAAAGTTTAGGTGAAGTTAAGCACAGCCTTTCCATTAAAGGCAAGCCTCCTTTATATCTTTATGGTCCAGGTTTAAATGTAGCTCCTTTCGTTTGATATTTTTCCTCAGCTGTGGTTTTTAAACCACGAACAAGGTGTTTCACTTTTGCTGCAGCAGCCAGGATTTTAGGTAAGGTCCAGGTTACCAAGTGCAGGGATGGATGAGCTCATCCTGCCAAAAGCAACGAACCAACCCACACCAAAATCCTCCTGCCTCTTTCGTAGGGGACCTCGGCTCGAAGCTGTGGTAAGACAGGTCATCTTCTGGGGTGCACTGTAGGCTCTCAGACACATTTCCAGTAGGGGAAAGTGCCCACACAAAGCACAATTTAAATCCTTTCAGCTTCTCTAGATAGGACAGTTCTGACAAGGATGGGAGAGGAGCAGCAATGGAACAGTGAAAAGGGATAAAGGATGGAAAAGTCAAATTACAAAAGAACCCAATCTTCTAAAAAAAAAAAACAAATGAAAGACCTGAAGGGAAAAATACTGATAGTTTCTGGTCAGTTGAGCTCAAGAGGAAACATGGTCAAACTTAGCCAAAGTGGTTAAAGGGAAGATGGGCATTTCACTGACAACCACCCCTTTTCAGGGACTGCCAGGACTAAACCTTGGAATGATTTTCTATCCCAAACACCCCTTCTGAGATAAGAAGTTCTTTAATTGTGACTCCCATCACTCAGACTGATCATTAAACCCCGGATGAAAAAGAAGCTCATGATGAAAGTCAGAGGACAAAGATGGACTTGAAAAATAAATACTGGAATATCAATGGCCTGACTGGCTGTAGGTTATTCCTATCCTATCCTTGGTTATTCTGGCCATAACCAAGTTGTATACAGTTGGATGAACTTGAATAAGCTTATATTAAAAAAAAAAATAAAAATAAAAAAAATCATGAATAAAAGACAAAGGTTGATATTTGCAAGGCAGGAAACAGGATCATCAAGCTTGGGTAGGTCAAACCTTTTTCAACACACATAAGCATAACTTGCTTTGCTTGTCCTCTGTGAGGGGGAAAAAAAAGGATATGAATTATGCTGTAATAGAAAAGGAAGCCCTTGCAGTTTTTACTTCAGATCTTTTGATATCTGATAAGCCAGGCCTTCCAAGTAAGGAGCAGTTTCCACCAGAAGGATATAAAG